TAATTCTGAAATTTAAACTTCATGTACTTTTTTAAAAAAAAGTGTAAAATAAAATCTAAAAATTTTTCAAAAACTTTTTTTTAAAAATGAATTGAATCAGAACAAATAAAATATATGTTACTACTATAAATTTTAGAAATAAATTATTCTACTGATTAACTAGTAATTCCACAAATCAACTAGGACAAACCGTTAGAGAGCCCAAAAATTATTTCATTTCTCAAATATTAATCGGAAAACTACCTAAATTATACTCTGCACATTTCCCAGAAAGCTGGAAAGGGTTGTATTTTACTTAGGGCATCTCAGATATGAGTTTATATGGATGGTGTTTTCTACACTAGGGAGCGCTGCAAGCTCGGGACTGCCTAAATTTCCGGGTTACTGTTTCAGTTGTATTTTAAAGCCATTTGGCATCATTGTGTTTTGAGATTCTTGCAAACAATGCATTTGATTACTTATTACTCATGTTTACAATGCTAACAATACTTGTGTTTACAATACTAAAAGTGTTAACACTAACGTAAGATGGTGCACAGCTTGCAACACGAACAAACAGTAATAAACAAATGGAAAGAGGCCAAATCAAGACTGCCAAAAAAGCGAGTTATTCAAAATCTAGCAACCATGTCACCTTTTTTAATAATAAATAACAAAATAACTAAAACAAATTTTCACTCCAAACTCCCCAGAATTACATAATAACATTAATATCTTATGAAATACGGCAGATTTGAGCTCAGAAATTATCTAGTTTATTTCTTTTATTGAAAACAAAATTATCCGTTTGAAAACATCGCCTATCAGAATAACATGTAGTAAGCAGCTGCAAACTTTTTAACCGGAACTAGAGTAGGTCCAAAGTTCGAGATTGTTATTGTTTACATTTCTATTGAAAACACCATCCATACGAGACTTTTTCTGATGTGATACATGAGACTGGTGTGAACTAAACTTTAAAATGGCAAAAAACTGTGAAATTTTCGTCTTTTTCTTCTTCTTTTTTTTTTTTACAGTTTCTGCCTTATAACATCTAAATGATGCCTCGTATACAAAATTTTGAAATTTTTAAAACGAAAAAGCATAGAATTCTTCATCGAAAGGTATTTTTAAACATTTAGTTTGTTATAACTGTTTGGTCTAAATCAGATGTCGAAAATGATCAAATTTTCCGCTTTGGCTTAAAAATGCTTTACGCTCACTTTTGGTAAAATTACCGTACTGTATAGTAATGATCTGGTAAAAAGAAGAAATATTCTAGTAATAAAACCAAAATATACGATATTTGAATCACTCATTTGGTCATTTTTCCGTTCACGATTTAGCGGAAATTCGGTTTTACAAAATTATAATTCTTATTGACTATCATTTAGTAAAAAATACATAACTGAAAAGTAAATTTAACCGAATAAAGGGTTTTTTATGTCATGCTCTAAGGTATCGATGACAAAATTATCAAATTTAACCACATTTACAAAATTTTATAGCATATTATAAAATCATATTTTATTTATTTAAAATCATTATCTACATCAAAAATTACCAAGCTTTTGGTGTTTCCAAAGAGCTGGGTAAATTTTACAATATTCCGTTAGTTTTCACCATACTTTTTTCTCCGCGCGCAATTCAATATCTAACTATGATTTCATTCTTAAGTTATTTAAAATTAATTTGCATATATATCATATTTGTTTTTCGTATTCCGTCATTTTTTAAATTTTCTGGCTTTTTTAAGGGAAAAGAAATGCATCCTGCTATGGTTACTTTAACTTCTGAAACTTTCATGTCATTTTCAACATGGAGATTTTGATGTAATAAATAACGCATATGAAGGAAAGTGATTAAATACGTTTTAAAATATTGTAATTTCCTTCTGATTCTCTTCTACTTCATCCAAGATTTTGTTCTTTAGTCAAAAGAATTTTTATTTTTTCGATAAAGCGAGATTTTTAGCTTCTAACTGCGTCAAATTGAAATGCGAACAAAAATTATGCACATATTTAAAGTAACGAGATTAAATGATGCACAAAAACTAAGAGGAGAAAAAAATAAAAGATAAAGTAGAAGGCTATAGAAAACCAAATACGCATTTCTGATAAAGTACAAGGGATTGAAAATTATCTTTCTCGTTTCGACACGCAATAACGTATTAAATAAAGACAAGTTCTGCTGTTTATACACGTTAATATCTTAGGGCAAGATAGGAGATTAGGGCATAAGTACATATCTCAGTATCAGCAGGGCAGGATTTTCATTTACAAAATGAGTCGCTAAGTTTGCTAGAATTAAGAAATACGACTTTCTGGCTGTTGTTGCGGGGTAACAGAAGGGGGGTTATTTATCCATGAATCTTCCCTTCTAATTAGGGTGGACTGTATTATCGCTGGTAAGACCTAAAATTAGTAAAATTAGTAATTAAATTAGTAAAATTAGTAGCAAGAGAGAGAGCACCACCAACCTTTTGACAGCTTGTTTATTGCGACTCTAACTGTTACAAAAACGTTACTGTAGATGGCGCTGGAGTAAAGATACAACACTGGCTTTGGCCACCTGACCCTCAATATGTTTATAGCTTGTTATTTCTTGATCCAAGGCGTAACCAAGATATTTAGCATTTTAAAGTGGAGTGTATATTCCAACTCCTACGGGTGCTATTGAATACAAGATCAAAAATCTCAACAACAGTTCAGTTTTTAGGTCTGAGCTTATTGCTATCAGAAAGAGCTTTCAATTTACTGCTCGGGCAGATCATTTTCAAGATATTTGGATATTGACTGATAGTCGTGCCTCAATCCAGCATATCTCTAATTGGAGATCAGACCCAGCCTTGATATTTTAGACCTAATTGACAGTCTTTACTTTACATGACTTTAGACTTTTTCGTTTCGTATTTGATTTATTAAAATTGTTAACAGCATTTACTGTTATATCTTCTGTTAAAAGCAGGATATTTGTAATGTACTTAAATAAAATGACGGCACATTAAATGAAAACAAGGGAAGTACTTGTTAGCATTATAACTATTATTAGTGCACGTTTAAAATACGTTTAATTGTCTAAGTTTAGTATAGTTAAACATTCGTTTACGTGTATTTCTCGAATGACTTAACCTTTTAAACCTAAAACATGTCTCTTAATTGGAAGAATACAGCAGGGCTCGAAAAAACTCAGAAATTTTACCAGTCCCCGAGGACGGCTTGTCTAACAATGTACCGTCCTCCTTTGAAACTAACCCGTAGCTTCTAAATAAATAAAAATGTAATTTTCTCTTATTTATTACTAACATTTATATAAATTGCTCAATAAATTAGTAGTTACTAGGATTACATTATACAGTAAAAGAAATGCTAGGTTACTAATAGTAAAACCTAGTATTTCTTTTATGAAATAATTTATTTCTTTTATGAAATAATTTAAATGACAAAGGTCAAGTTATCTGGAATGTCAATTTATCCGAGGGTACTGCGTTTTCTAAATGAATCAAATATGACGTTTGCCAGTTCCACAATCAAGTCAATGATTTGCAGAGGTTTCTGCACAGAAATCTGAAAGGGGTTTTCCATTTAGGTAGATGTTCATAATTACGTTAAACGCTTCTTGTTTAAGACCGGTACGTAATGTGTTTTGTTTTTTTTGTAAGTTCATTGCTGAAAAACCTCTTTCAACCGCTGCAATACTCCCAGACAGAGAAAACATCAATTCCACCATGATCAGTATGTTACTGTATTTCTAGATTAGAGGGTCATTTTAGAAGTGAGGCGCTAAACTCTTGTAAGATAACAAAAATTGAAAATGTATCACGAACATTAACGGGAAAATTGCCGTCCGCTCGGACGTTGGATTCGAGAAATTTGTTGTCCGCGGGGAGTTTTTGACCGCCGAGGACGGGCGGACAGGTGGTTTTTCGAGCTCTGGAATACAGAATTACCCCATTTACACAGTACTGACATTTATATTTGTTAATAAGCACCTATGACAGGGGTGGCGAACCTTCATGCACCAATGTGCCATTTTTTCTAAAATATATTTTAATGAGATCATAGACGTGCCGACAAATAGTTTTGGCTTCGTGATTATTGAGTAAATAATAATACTAAATTTTATAAACTTAAAACTCTCTATTTACTACGAAAAAATGCAATTCTCAACTTTTGCAATGTCTCAGTTATACGCGTAATTCAACTTAAAGTAACATCAGTGTGATTTCTGTTGTTGCAGATTAGATGACAAATAACTTATATTAGGGTTATAAGATGTTAGTTTTAGCAAAACTGTTAATTTTTATTTATTGTTCGCTTGTTTTTTTGTGGTTATTAATTGCTTTTTCGGCATTAATTGTTTTTTTGTGAAATTTAATTGAATTGTTAATATGCTGCATAGTAAACTTTGTGATCGGTGGAGTGCCCAAAATATTGTGTTGCGTGCCATACGTGGCACGCGTGCCACTGGTTCGCCATCCCTGACCTATGATTTCTTTTTACTAGACTAATTTGAACAGTTTCGATATCTATTTTTTTATCGCTTAAATATTAAGTCAAAACCTCTAATGAGTATACTTTTTTGAATTAATTTTTAATTATGATTCTAAATATATATAATAAGGGTGTATTTATGCTTATGATTCACAGATATTTAAAGATTCTTGTTTCTATACATCGATTTTAATACAAAATTCCTACAATGTACAATTTTCACTTAGAAGTCATTTTACTATTTTTCTAACAATGAATTACAATTTTACAGTTTTAGCAACATATGACTTAAGCGAAATTTCATTGTTCAAAACATTCAACTACTTTTTAATAATTCAATTTCAATTGTTAGTTCGTAAACAATAAACCATATTCATTATTAAAACACTATATATACCCTTTCTAAAGCATTGTTGCCCATTCTAACTTGTACTTTCAAGATTGAACGTGCTTATTAGAGTGTTTTTTGCTAAACTGCAAATTGATTTTGGGAATTAAATTCCTGTGTATTGATAAAAAGATAAAGAAATGGGAAAATTCGCTGATATCACGCAGAGTGATAATGATGATGATCAAGACGAACCCATCCCCCCTGATTTATCCGGAGAATACTACCAGCACAGAAGAGATGCCATGAAAATCCTGGAAGCCAATCAGTTTGTATGCGTCGACAAGCTTGGGTCTGGCGCCTTTGGCGATGTGTACAAAATGATTGACTTCTCCGGCCGAGAAGTTGCCGTTAAAATAGTCGCCCTAGAAATAGCTAAACCAAATGAAACCGAAATTTGGCCCAAATTATCTCACCCAAACATTATCCCCCTCCTCGAATACTTCAGCTTCAATAACCCAGATGTAGCAATTTTTGTGATGCCCATGCACCGGGACACTTTGCTACATGCAGTCCTAGACAGGCACTTTTTGAGTCAGTCAAGTGCCCTAGACTGCATAAAATCATGGCTTTATGACACTCTCTGTGGTCTGACCTATTTGCACTCTAACGAGGCCTGCCACTTAGATCTAAAATCCGACAACGTCTTGATCTCACATGATCACAAAGCTGTTATCTGTGATTTCTCTTTTCTTGCGCCAGCAACGAAAGCAATTCCAAGGTGAGCAATTAAAGATTTGTTTAATATTTGACAAAAACTTGTAGGATTTTTATTTTGAGATAATGAATATTCTATTTTTTTTTTCATTTGCATCGTTTTAAAGTATAACTGCAATTATTATCTTATAATCTATTTGACGCATTTAAACTGAAAACAAAATTTTTTGTTTTGAAAAGGAATCTTCGAACATAGTTTTAGATAGGTCGGTACTTTATGTACGGAACACTAGAGCTGCACAATGGGCTGTTGGCGACGGCCTGGGAAACCTCCCTACCCAATTCGAAAACCTTGATGGTCCCATCAAAAATTTTAATGGCTTATGTTGATTTCAGTGAGATTCATGATGGTCCAACAGCATTTGATGGTCACCATCATCCAATATTTCCCATTACGTGTTTATGGTTTTTTATATGCCAACCAAACTTCCCTCATTCCATGAGGGAAAATTATACTATGATGGTCAACCATTAAGAAAAGTTTGACTCCCATGTACCAACAATTTATGATGATCCGTAAAGGCTCATGATGGCTCCAACAATACATTTCCATGATGATTTAAAGGGAATTCTTGTTGATTCTCAACAATATATGCCATCAAAACAATTTCGGTTTTTCCTATGTTAGACCATCATAAATCAGTCCGAATTTCTACATTGAGATGATGGTTACTTATGTTGGTTACCGTCAAGATTATGTTGATGTCTCAATGGAAAACCATCAAAAATTTTGACTTGGTAAGGATGTTCCGAAAATATGCCATCGCAATTTTGATCCTCTGTAGAAGGAATGGCTCCCCTGCTTTGGAGCATGGTTTCAAAGCAAGCTTCTAATATGAAAGACTTCTTCTTCTTCTTCAGCACGACAGCCCCTTGCAGGCCTTTACTGCCTCAACCACGTGTAGCCTCCAACGCCTCCTATCCATAGCGACTTTTTTCCAGTTGTTAATCTTTATTACTTTGAGATCTTTAGTAGTGTCATCCAGCCATCTAGTTGGAGGTCTTCCTCTGGCCCGAGATCCAGAAGGATTTTTAAAGGTGGCGATTCGTACTGCATTGTTTTCTGGACCTCTCCAGATATGGCCAAGCCATCTTAATCTATTGCTCCGGATGACCTGCACTATTTGTGGCTGTCCATAGAGTCGATATAATTCAAAGAATATGAAAGACTAGTATTTCCATTAAGAATTATTTAAATTTAGGTTTGAAGAACAATTTAATTTTGTTTTACAGATCTGAACTTGGATTACCACCAGTGTATAGACCACCGGAAGCTTGTCCATCCCTTGGAAGTGGAGCAGCGATTGAGGGGAAAGCATACGATATGTGGGCGTTTGGAATGATGGTTCTGGAGCTATTTACCAACCAAGCCCTTGGCGGAACATCAGCCAACGCCGGAAACTGGGAAAGAGATATTTATCCTACCCTATTTAACATCCTTCAGGTAGAGACATATTTATTAATATTTTTATTCAAGCAGTGATGGCTCAAGGGAGAGAGTGTTCACCTTCCAATGAGGTGAGCCGGGTTCGAATCCTAGTAATGGATGGTCGATACGAATTCCTCCTCCGGCTAGCACCAGCCACAGTGCTGACGTTAAATATCCTCAGTGGTAGATGAATCATAAGTTAGAGTCCCTTTACCATCAAGCTAACTGTGTGAGGTTTTCGTCTCCATATAACGCAAATGCGGGTTAGTTCCATAAAAAATTCCTCCCTGAAGGCAAATTTCTCCCAATATTTGATCCAGGAGTTTCCTTGTCTTCTGAATTGGGTTCAATACGAAGGATACGAAGGATATATAAGGATACGAAGTTGAACATTGGTAGACGTAAACTGAAAATTCGATCTGCTGTTCAACGATGGTTATAAAATAAAATATTTTTATTCAATCTTCTTAATAGAATATAAAATTTATTAAGTTAAATGCTTACTTCTGATAATACAAGTAACCATTTATTCTGTTTAGTGACAAAAATTTTTTACAATACATACCAAAATATAAAGCCTCAAACCATGCTTAATGTATTTTGATCAAAATATAGTTATGAAGTTTTTAATAAATTTTTTCTTTAAAGAAAATGGAAACATTAATACAAAGGAAGAATTCAATGTGAAACAATGTCAAGCCATGTGCTTTCTGTTTAGTGAAAATATCTATTTCACTTACTAAAATGTAATAAAAATATAATACTTTAAAAAAAAAGCATGATATTTACCTAAGTATAGCAAATGTGTTACTTAAAATATTATACTTTAATATTTACAGCAATATTTATTTTATTAGAATGATTCAGTGATTTTACGGTGACTATTACTGTAAAAAATACGGTATATTGAATTCCTTGTATCGGTAGAAATGAATTTTATGATATAAAGTACCACCACCCCGAGTCCGGTACTTTTTACTATGATGATCTGAAAAATTAGGTCTTTTCTAAAATCTTCGTAACACATTTTCTAAAGTTTCTCTTAAGGCTTGTCATTATTTAAAAAAATATATTCAAATGTTCTTAGGGTTGTTCAAAAAAAATTTGATTTTATAAAGGTAGTTAACAAATGTTGCTTTAAGTTTGAAAAAAAAATATTCAAGATTACAAATTAATTGCAGTATTCTTTTAGGGAGAATCTTTCCAGAGTTCCATTTGTGGAATGTTTTCTCAGACGGGCATTTCAGATGGGCAAGTCAAGCTTGCTTTAAATTTCATCCACATTTTTCTGATGCCCGATAGGAAGGAGAGATGGAATGCCGCGAAGGCATCTGACCACTGTTTCTTTAAGAGTGGTGGCCAGATAGGAGCAGGGCCACATCCGATGTGGATAAATTTTGCTAACCCTGACATAGGAGAGCACCGAACGGTTAGTTTGAGTAGAAATAGAGGTGTGAAGCGTGAAGCTGAAATGAGTGCAGAACCACCTGATGCCAAAAGAGCCAACAAAGAATCTGAAGAAACACCAGAAGAAGTCCAACAAAAAGAATGCGAGAAGTGCAAGGTGTCGGTAGGAAAAATTGAGGACTTAAAACGGGAAGTTGAGGAGTTAAAACAGAAAAATGCTGTTTTGGAGCAGAAGGTTCGGGAATCAAAGAAGGTTCCAGAAATCGACGAGTTTGCCAAAAAGAAACTGCCTGTCCCGAGAAAGATTGCGATTTCTGCAAGTACCCAAACTACAAACAGCCCGAAAACAACAGTCGCTGAGAATGATTTACCCGAGCACACCGCGGGTGATGACACAATGATTCAAAACGACACATTCGTGAGTTGGGTACGAAAGAAATTGAAAGCCTGCAAGAACCGAATTCTCCGTTTTAGTTTCAAATAATTTCAGATTGAAATGAAGACAAACTAATCGAACTGAAACGAAGCATACTTGAAAATAGTTACATCCTCATACAGACATCCTCAAATAGACATCATTAGCATGGAAATGGCAGGTATTAAATACTCGATAATTAGTTATAAATGCTTAATTTATTTAATAATTAATTTTTTTGAAATTTTAAAAAAAACTTTCCTTATATTTTACAGATATTTTCGCAGAATTTAAATAAAACAAAGAAATCAAAGAAAACAAAGATCTTGAATGAAAAATCATCCTTATCGGAAGCATGGCGTGCCCCGATAAAAGCTTGTTCGAAAAAAAACATCTTTACAGGAAGCATGGCGTGCCTCGATAAAAGCTTGTCTGAAAGGAAACCCTTATAGGAAGCATTGCCTGTCTCAATAAAATCTTGTAGGAAAAACATTCTTAAAGAAAGCATAGTGTGTCTCCATAAAAGTTTGCCCGAAGCATCATTCTTATAGGGAGCCTGGCGTGTCTCGATAATAGCTTGTCCGAAAAATCATCCTTATTGGAAGCATGGCATGTTCCGATAAAAGCTTGTCAGAAAAATCATCTTTATAGGAAGCATGGCGCGTCTCGATAGAAGCTTGTCCTAAAAGAGATCCTTACACAAACATCATTAGCAATAAAACGGCAGGTATTAAATGCTCATATTTTAAAACTGTTTTATTTGTTTTATTCATATATTTATTTATTTATTGTAATTACAACAAAAAAAAATTTTTTTCAGATATTTTTGAAGAATGACAAAAAAAGAAAAAAAATCTAAAGAAAGAAGGACTTAAAAAAAATTAACTTGAATCATTGTTCGGAGAAGGAAAGTGATATCGACTGCCCCAAAGATGATAATCCGAATACGGAAGAATATTTTACTATTTTATTTCAATATGAATACCACTATTAGAAATCTGTTTATAAGGAAGTTTATATTTTGGATTCATCGTTATAATAAATAGCTTATATTTTTCATTTAATTATTATCCCTCAATAGCTTCAATTTTTATTTAAAGAAGTAATTTGATACTTATAAGATTAGCTTCAGGTAAGAGTTAAGAAAGATTTAAAATCAATGATCGGATAGCAAAACAACACTTAGCTGAACAACTAAATGAACCTTTTCAAATAGAAATGTCAGATGCTTTACCAGTAGAGATGTGTCGGATCGAAGTAATGTATCTGATAGTAATGTAGGTCGTAATAGTAATGTATCTGATAGCAATGTATCGGATAGTAGAGCTGTACCCAGAGGCAACTGAATCTAGTACCCAGCATGTTCAGGGTCCCCAGTTAAAATTGGATTTATTTCCCGAATTCATTACTTATGAAAATTGGATTTATTATCATGTAAAACAATTCAAAAATATTGAACATGAAAAATATTGAACATGTAAAACAATTCAAAAATATTGTACTTGATTTTTATCCCTACATTTTAAATTAAACAAATATTTTAATAGATATAGAATCTTAGTTTATTTTTTAATTACCCAATAATGGAAACGGCATTGAAACTAGCTCCTTCGATATTCTGATGGAAATTTTATTTTGCGGGAAAGGTTAATGTAGCCGATTTTTCCAATTGTTAAAAAATATTAAAAAGAAAATCTGTTTTTTTTTCTTCCTAAATCATAATAAGAAATCAGCTTACTTCTAAATGCAATTATTCTTGTCAGTATTTTGTTCAAAATTTCAGTAAGACTCTTGGCGAATAAAGTAAATGTAGCATTTTGTTTTCTTTATCGCCAATATTCCTACCTTGTGTACCCAACCAACTTAAAAAAAAACAGTTTCCATGACAACGGCTTGAGGTGAAACGGAGTATAATTCGCTTTAAAAATTTTAATACCAAAGCATTTACGAATACATCGTCAAAAATTCGGGTAATTATGCAGCATTGCGAACGAAAATGAGCAATATAGAACATGAAAACTAAAACAGAAGCACAGATATTGATAAAAAGTTTTAATCCTAACAGAAAGTACTTACTATTATTATTATTTTTTTGTACGGTAGAATGCAATTAAAACACGGACCTAGAAAATTTTCTCTAGCAGTAAATTTGGCGGAAAGCTATGCTGCTTACAAATGCCGTATTTACCGTTTATTTGTCACTAGTATTGCACTTTCTGTAAGCATAAAATGGATGCATCTCCATTTTTTCTGAAAAAGAGCTAATAAAGATTTTATAATATTTAAATATTCATTCTACGAATATAGTTTCCTAGAAGAAATTTAAAACTAACTCTTACAGAACACACAAAAATTTTTTTTTAAAGATGATATATGAAAGAAATGAACTGTAATTATTGCAAATAAATAAGAAAAGTTTACTTACCTGCAAAAGAAAAAGACAATTTCAAAAACTACTTGCAGGAGATGATAGTAAGCTTCGACAACAAAATCGCCCTTTAGTCAACAGTTACAAAATAAATTATCGGTCACAGTTAAAGTTTGTGCCTGTCTTAGTACGAAGGTTTTGCGCAATCGATTGCGCCATGAATGTATTTCTCGATCATATTTACCAATTTGTAGTGCAACCAAAATAAAACAATTTTTCACTTAACCATTTATGGTGTCATTAGAAACTTTGCACCAAGCATTGGTTAAACATGTACCGAGTTTTTTTAAAGTGTAGTTGCGAATAAAGCACGTCAAAAAGTGATTACTCAAATTCGAACTTCGGGTGTCGCAATGTGTTAAAAATAGCACAATTTGAAAAATCATATAGAGATCGCTGAAAAAACATTTAATAGACATCGAAAAAAAATGATCGGAAAATGATGAGGATACACGATGATATCGTCGTTCATCGAGAGCGTCAAAAAAAGGATAACTGCAATTCGAAATTCACGCTTCGTAATAACATCGTATTAAAGATATCGAAATTTAAAAAGCCACATGAAAAAAAGACGATTAAACGATCACGAATCCAGATCATCAGAAAATAATAGTAGTTTTTGCTGCTGCGTTCTACTGTGAGTAGCAATCGGCTCATTTAATTAGCTGTTTGCTGCTTGCCAGTCGATTAAATCGCTCCCTGCTTGAATGAATGAAAATTTTCATTAATTAAAATTAATTAATTAATTTTAATTAATCCAAAAATTATTAATTAAAATTTAGAAAAATTTAGAAGCAAAAGTCAAATTAAGTCATGAACACTCTAAGATATTTATTGATTTTTCGGTCGATTCTACATGGCTTATGAAATTCCAATTCATCAATACGATATTTCGACACAAAAATTTCGAATTTGTGTTACCACCTATTGACATGCTTTATTCGCTACTATTACATCGTCCATCTATGTAATTTTTCGATTATTTCTCGGCAGTTATTCAGTCTTTTTCAAATAGTTTTTCAAATAAATATATTTTTTATTATTTATTTGAAAATTAAAAATAAAATTTATTATCAAATAAATATATTTTTATTTTCACGAATTTCAAATTCGACTCATCGCTTTTTGACGCTTTCATTTTCACGACTATACTTTCATAAAACCAATGTCATTTACTAAAAGTTTTCTCAGTTATTACAGTTAAGATGTCTAACTTCCGGCCCAGCGATTTCCACATTGTTTTTGAACTCTCGATATTTTAAATAAGATATTATTACTATCCGATGTATTCGGAATCGCAAATTTTTGTATTTAAACTTTGAAATAAGTGAAAATATTTAATATTTATGATTGTTTTATTGCAATTAGTCTCACAACAAAGATCATGTTGAATTTTCTGAATCACAAAAGATATTGCGATATCGCTTTAAAATATGGTTATATGAACCCTGATTTCATTAGTATTTTTTAACACTAGCAAATTTTTACTACTGATTTTGAAACAAGAAATCAAGACCTGGTAACAAGGATTTGTCATGCAAAATATCAAAACCTTTTTCGTTAATAATAATAATACAATTTCACGAGATAATTTCACAAGATAATTTAACTAAAGAATGAAAACGTATGGTATACCAGCGGTTCCCAATTTGTTTTGGCTACAGAACCCTGAATAATACATCCTCTTTCGGAGGAACACCGACTTTATAAATAAAGTTTATTTAGGTAATAGTAAACGTTATTTTTGATTAGGTATAACCAATGAAAGACAACAAGAAAATAAAACATATAAAATAATTTATAAAAAAATAAATAATTTATGAAAAGTATTTAAAAAAATGAAAATAATAATAACAAATATTTATAAAAATAAATAATTTATAAAAAATAAATAATTTATAAAAAAATAAATAATTTATAAAAAATATTTAATTACACTGTAAAAAATCTCTGTAAATCTTTAACCAGTGCAAAGTTTCTCATTGTCTCAAAGTTTAATTAAATGAAAGTTTTACTTTAGTTACACCATAAATTTACACCATATAAAACATTTAGTTACACCATAAGTACGATCGAGAAATATTTCCATGGTGCAACTGACTGCACCAAAAATTGGTAAAAAAAACGCAGTGACTGTAAACGGAACGATATTTGTTTATGACGCCATGTTTTCTTTACAACTCTGTCTCGGTGCACGACTCATGCATATTGTTTCAAGTATCAAATTAATTTTGGTTGATAAATGGCTTATTTACATTAATTAAAGTTCATTACTTTTATGTTGCCTTTTCAAATTTGGTTGGCGGTATAAAATGATTAGAGGTATGTCATAAAATAACCTATTTGCGGTAAATAGTTTTGTTACGGTAAATAGAAACCTTAACCTGCATTTGGGCGTTTTAAAAGTACCTAATAATAGGGCAACCTTCCTTTGTTTTCATTAAAGAATAAAAATAATTTAAAATTTGTAAATAAAATAAATAATTTTATACAATTTTCTACTGATATTTGAAACTAGTGAAAATACCGAAATATGGTAAAATTGAGCTCCATTTTATGCAGCCAGCAAATGAAT